AGGACGGTGTTATATAAGTGGCTGTTGATTTGATGTGCCCAATGAGTTTATATTCCTTGAAGTTAAATATAATGTTAGTATGAGTATTAGGATATTTCATTTCAGCAACATCATCATGAGAGCAACGTACAAAGTGGAGTGCAGGGGTAGTCCAAGAGGAATGACTGGTCGATAAACGCATCAACATGTACTGATGATCACAGTCATATTATTGATTCATATTATTTTTCTTCCAATGTTCCAAGAAAACAATTTGATTCTTAATGGAAGTTTAAAATTTTACTGATTCGTATGTGCTGTACGACAAACTACCAAACTATGATCAGACAAAATATAATTTATCACAAAAAGCAAAACTGAGAAGCTCTAAATGTCAAAGTTAGAAGGTACGTTTTTCACTTTCCTTGGAACCATGCCAACACTTCTGTACTAACCTACTGCACCGTACGACCATCTAAGATACCGATTGGCCGGCCTTGACTAAGATAGTCTGTGCGTTAAGTCTTGTGTGAATGAAAGCTGAGGATGATAATCATTTGATGGAGTGCACTTATTTGCACAGTTCACCAACGGTAAAATTGTAAAGAATGGATATATCCAAAGATCATCACTGCCTCATAGGCAAAGTTTGAGAAAATGTCATTATCATGTGGACTTGTTTGTTGACAATGGGTAAGTAAAGGAAATACGGCTCTGGGGTGTCTTCCTATTGTTGAGACATTGTTAACTGTGGAGATTTAGAAAGCTGTAGGCTCATTGACTCCAGCTTTGATAAAACAAATAATTATTCCGTGCACTGCAGTGGAAATATCTCCCTATCCCTGCTGTGACTTGGCAGTCCTGACCCATATTTTCGGGGGAAATGGCCTAGACACAAAGGGGACTACTTTATTAATCGTGGCTGTAATCTAGATTTATGATAATATCATGCCTAATCCCTTGGCTTAACACGCAATCGGGAGTTACGGTTTATGGCAAAAAAGGGCCCCTATGCTGAGTATACTGAAAACTTTTGTATATACTTTTTGAGTATACTGAGAATTTTGATCTGGTTAACTTTCCGAAATTTCATAATTATAATGACGGTTGGTTGAAACATAATTACATCAGTTGTAAATAATGATTGACAACGTCCCATGCTAATATTAGAACGACAATTTCAGTTAGGTTCGGGATTTTAGAATAATCTTATGAGATTGTCATTTTCAAAGATTGTTGACATATCACAAATGCGATTTCACTTCTGTGAAATATATTATTGATAAATTTTTGAAAAAAAACTTTAAAAACTTTATGGTTTTATTGGGATGAAATATGGATACTGTTATTGAAATGTGTTCCTTAAAATGAGAGTAGAATTTGAAATATTACATGTCAAATCAAGAAAGTATGTTAGATCTTAAAATATTTAAAGAGCAACTTAAAAACGAACATGCTTAAAGTTTCTTTGGAAATAATATTTGCCTTTTATAATTAATTTAACCATTTCATTTAAGATGCATGAAATGAGGTGGAATTGCGAGACGAGACGCAGGTGTTACTGGCATTGTGGAGATTCAGATATGGACGTAACAATAACAGCACGTAAATAAGACATGTCCATATAACTAACATTAATGTGAGGTCAGATATGGACACAGAATGACATCTCTGTAGAAACAGATATGCATCTATGAACAGTATTACTGAGCATGCAGATTCGGATCGGATAGTCGCATTATTGTCGCTTCAGATATCAACATGTGCATTATTATACATGCATGTATGTATCTGTGAGTAACACTTATGCGAAAGCTGATGTGATCCCGTAAACTCTATTAGCGTATACATATATGTTCATGTACATACAATAATGTAGTTACAAATCAATTGTAAATCCAGATATGTATTACCACACCTAAACACTGGTGTGAATTACAGAACCTGAATCTATCATCTAAACAGTAGCTAACCTACATTAGCATGTGCATACGTTTAAACACTATACAAAAACAGAAAAGACATGCATATTTTTACATAAAAGGGAAAATAGATAATTTATTCCGTCATTATTCATAAACTACACGAAGTTTATGCATTGATAAGCCATAAATGAAATGTACTGAAAATGTTTTCCTGAAGACAAGCAAGGCCAACATGGACACAGTGGTACTGCAAAGATCACTGTTTCTCCCTATTCTGTTTTAATTCATGACGGGAATATTTTCTTAGTCCTGAATATCATGCTGACGGATTGACGCTGGTTAAACGGGTATTGTGAGTTAATATCAAGGCTATACAAAACGTCCATTTGTAAAAAGTCAGAGCTAGACGTTATGAATGAATGTCATAAAAAAGAGTTTCCGATCAAAACCGGTGGAGGTGGCTCAGGAGACGGAACGACTGATCTGTTGATAAGTATATTTCATTGTAGCGGCTCATACCCCGTCTTCAGACCACAAGATAATCGTTTACCTGACACGTGAAGAAAAATCATGATGAATGGATTCATTCATTGATAAATAAATCTTCGTTTTTTTGTCCACACATCAGTAGAAGTTTCCATGTACTGTTGATATTTGTTATTATGTTTTGTCTTTTTCAATTTGATTGAGATGTTGCATTATGTATCTCTCTTTCGATATGAAGCTCAAGACTGGAACATGAAAACAAGGGCTCTTAAAAGTAACATGTGTACTTAATTACTTTGAGGGGCATTTTAGAAGTTGTGAAGATGAAGGAAAACTAAGTTCTATGGATTGTCAACTTCTTTATTGCAATGAGTGCGACGTTTCGGTGTAGGTACTAACACCGTTATCAAGCAAACGTTTCGGTGTAGGTACTAACACCGTTATCAAGCAAGCATCACTTGCTTGATAACGGAGTTAGTACCTACACCGAAACGTCGCACTCATTGCAATAAAGAAGTTGACAATCCATAGAACTTAGTTTTCCCTGTATTTAATTAGGGGCAATTCTAACTCATCTTTAGACACAATAATTGTTTTTAATAAATTCATGCTAAAACGGCAGGGAAAGCAACAACGCACGATTTCATGGGGCATTGATTCAGTTATCATTGTCATTTAAATTATTACCAGTACATTTATATAATTGATATCAGTATGTTTTGAGGACTGGGTATGTTCGATTTAAATATTTGTTCCATGTATTGTTTCATTTTAAATGAATTACACTGAAAGATTTCCTAATTTATTTCATAGTTTCTTTAAAATGTACTACAGTCAAAATACATCCCTTTGAAAGTGATATCTGGTACTTCAAAGCAGGGATTTGAAAGGTATATTTGCTTTAGAAACCGCAGGTTATACAGACAAACGTAAATCTGGATATTTAGCTACCTTCTGACCTCGGCTTCACAGATCATCCTTTCTTCAAGTGGATGTTTAGTGTCATGTTGTACGACTTACTAACTGTACAAATACACATGAAATCAACGCCACTCCGTGTTTGAAATGTAATGTGACATGAACAATAGTTTGGCGAATTGTACAACCGCCAAGAAAGAGTAATATGTTCTCTTTGCTTTGTGTCTCATTAAGCCTCGACGATCAGATTTCACATTTCAGTAGGTTGGGATGTGAGGGTATTAGCAAAGTGAACAAGTATTTAGTCTGGAGGGAGGTCTGTGTTTGAGAAAAATGTCACTTATAAAAAAAGAATAGTATCGGTTTGAAGGAAAATACCATGATTCAATCTGAATGAAAGTCTGTTATAGACATAACAGATACTATTTGGCTAATTTGGTTGGCATTTGCCCAAATGTACACTGGCGTTAAAAGAGAGTATGTGTGTCAGTGTTGGTACTATATTTCACACGCATTCATATATATCTTGCAAATAAAAACTTTGTTCAGGGTTATGTATAAGAAAAGTAATATTTTGAACAGTATCTTAATGTGTAGCACTTACAAATCACGCTGAACATATCAGCTGAAAAGTTAAAAAAATGCCAAAAATAAAAATAATGTGAAAAATCAGATGTAAGAAAATTAGCACAGTAATCCAATTACTGAATCTAATTTCCAGCTACTGGTATTAGTAGGATAAAGGTGCTTTATAATTTGACTATCACACTCATAGCATATTCCATTAAGTACTATATGGAGGTGGGAGTTAACTTCAGTGTGCTAACTTGAAAACAATTGTACTTGTCAACATAATAATACGAACGTGCAGCGCCAGCATTTTACCTTTATGCTATACAGGACTGCACTATCACGTAACACGGAGTGCTATACCTCATTACAAAACATTAACACACTGAAATGGTGATGCATGTTAAAAATATTAACAAACTCGCTGAAACATAGGTACAATGTTTATATGAATTTATTGTCCCCAAAGCTTTGATCAGCTCATCGTCTCACCCAGGCGCACATCCGTCTTACTGGGGTTAGTACAGTTCATTGACGTTTGGAACACACTCTTGCCCGAGCAAACTCGCGTGAAATGATTTATTATATACAAATATCGGCATGCAATATTTGTTTTAGGGTTATATATCTTCCCCCTTGCTGCCGTCTTTCATATCACACACAGCGTGGTCAGAAAGAATATGTTCCAGTTTAGAAACTAAAAGACCGCAGATTTAACATTTTGAATCTAATGTAAACTTAAGCGTCCACTGTTTTCCAAACAGTTCAGCAATAAGCCATTAATTTAAGTGTGGACCTCGTTAATAATTTAGCAATGGCATTATTATTGCGTTGTGTTTGCTGATTGTATCAAGAGGAAGTGATATTTATTATGTCAAGTGTGTTACGAGTTGGACACTTTACCCACTTGAGGAATTGTGCAATGGGATTTGTAATGATTTCACAAACACGTGAAAATTTATGTATAACTATATTGCGCATTTCCACGTGAATCCAAACGGCAAAGAATAGATAAATCAGCACATACACCTGATGGACAAACGATGTACATTTTGGAAGTTAGGCACCATCATTGACAGATTGGATGTGAAATATATCAACTCTTTGATTGTTTTGATGTTGAGGTAATACATGCCTTCAATTAACCTAATGATACAGAGGTTATTTAATGCATACGTGAGTTATTCCCAATGTGACAGATATCGCTACTGTAGCTAGACTAATGTCTCTGTTAGTTATATGGTTATCGCTAACGATCTGTTTCACACACTCCTCTGAAAGTGGACCCAGGCCAGTCTAACCGAGGTGAGACAAGCGCTCGTCGAGAGACTAGCCTAACACACGCTCCAAGCTTCAACGGAGTCCTGTTGTGACAATATAGTGTAGCAAGGGGACTCTCTTGCACGGCTCCCATGTCTCAAATTCCTTGGCTATTTTTCCATGAATATTAACAACTGTCTGCGAGCACAAAGCCGGGTATATGCAGTGTATCGATATCAATGATTTCGAATCGAGATATCGGCTTTTTCAGCCGGGACTGTTTATAAAACGGCGGGGAGGTGCCTTCTGGACACGAAGCCTCTGCCTTCAGAAGGGTGACATCAGGAAGCCGCTTTCTAGTTCGAGTGCTGAAGTTCCTCTGTGACGATGGGTGTCTGTGAGCAGTTGTACAACATGCTGGCTCTCGTAGTGTTGCTGTTACCTTTATGTACAGCGGAACTAGTGGGCATCAGTGCATATTATGGTAAAATAGTAGACAGACATAATGAAATCAGAAGAGAAGTTGGCGCTTCCGACATGCGGGAAATGGTAAGAAAACTTTACATAAATTGAACATGGTATATTACCCAATATTCTTCTATCTGAAACAAACTGTTGTCTATCCTTAACTGCTTGTATATATACTGACAGAAACAAATAAGGGAACACATAACTAGATAAGTGTTCCTTTATTCGTATCCAGGTTTCTTCAGAAGCAGTGTATTGCACTGTTTTGACAAAAAACAGAGAATAAGTAAAGGAACACTGCGATTGAGAGGCGTTCCCGTATTTGTTTCCCTCAGTATATATATACATGTACAAATGTATAAAACAGGTTTGGAACTTTATCACTCAGTATAGTCATATTTTAAAAAAAGCCATGTTGTCATGAGTTATGTGATGATCATCTAACAGAGCCGAGAGTACTTCGCTCATGTCTGGCTGATTGGCTTGTGACAATTTATGACACCGCACATGTCGCGCGTTGTCGGTAGACTTTATTCAGTGACAGTGGTGACCTAAAAGGTAGACGTATTTTCATGACTACATATCCCATGAGGCTGGATAACAGCTGCTAAGCATCAACGCTGACGATTTGTTAACAAATACGGTTCCTATGCTCTGTGTTCCATCTTGAATAATACACAAATTACCACGTGCGTTATGTGATGTAAAACAAACACAGTTATACTATATTCCCGTGATAAAAATAACATAAAATGTGTTTTATTTAACACATGATGAAGTTTAAACATTTATCTGTGAATATTAGCATAAATGTCCTTTTCAGTCAAAGTGCATTCTTGATTCTGTTTTGTCTGAGTAAGCAAATTGGAAACCCGCTGACTTCATGCCTTAGACGGGAGTACTGATGTGAACTGGGACAATGATCTTTTCCCTGTTGACTACAGTACATAAAGGACACAGTGTTAAGATACCACTATGTTATCTGATCGGCCCGCGCGTCAGTCTGTGTGATACTGACGTGGTTTGGGTGTCTGCATGACAAGTGACAGGTAACAACCTCAACTGTATATGTGCAGATGTAGATTTCACGTAACCACACACTTGAGAATGACACACCGTGGTACATTTCACGTTAGGGGCAACTCAAACCTTACCGCAAGCTATAATTGCATCTGCCATGGTGTTACCTACCAAGAAGTGAGCTGCATGAAGCTGTCACACCCACTCAAGTAACACATGTGTATTACAACGCATCCCCGCATGGACACGATAATAACATATATATGAAATACATGCTTCAAGGACGGTGATATTTTGGTTGTCAAGAAACCGTAATAGATATGTGTTCTCCACTGCCTAATTTATCGCCTTACTATATACAATATCCACAGAATATTATGTTTCAAATTATCATATTTTATGATTAGGTAAGTTGTCGACCGAAATATTGTTTTGGCATTCCTTGTTAAATATGTATGTAATTATTCTGTCAGTATACTGTAGTATTTCATGTGTACTAGGCATTCAGGTATAACCAGGTGATACGACACACGATTCCAACATCAACATCAAATTTTACTCTAAAGTTACTGATTCGAAAATATTACTCTATTTACAAACAGATAGATTAAATGTACTCAATAATCTATTTAGTCATTTATTATTCATATGTTAAAGGCTAAATAATATATGATGTCGCCTCACTAGCTACGTACATGGACACAGTTTGACCCTATCTTAGCAAACATTGTGATTATCATCGCAACATAACAGCTGACTGTTTATAAATATCGGATTTCCCGACATATAAAAATGATGGTTCGTAAAAATATGCTGTCATCAAAGATTTTGTACGTATCATAATCACAAACAATGTACATGGTCTTGTTGATCCAGGTGCGACGTCTGAGTCTCACTAGTTCCACGGTGGTATTCATTTTACGTTGTCTTTGTCTGTATAATGTTCACAATATGTCCCAAGTGTTACTAACCGACACAGTAACATGTATATGTGTACATACATTATATAATTCTGTAGCATAAATCTCGTTTCCTGAGTAATGTTCACTTCCTGACACAGTTTCGTGTAACGTTATTAACTAGTTGTAAAACGGTTCTTATTATGAGTTCAGATAATAGTAATATGTGTAGTCATAATGTCAGGTAGTCCAGCAAACACGCTGTTTATATCCACTAATCTGATTTCAATCTACAATTTCTATCAATACATTGTGTGCATCAGAACGCCTTGTCTTGAAATAAGCATTATGTGAGGAATAATTCAAAGTGTCACTAATACTAAGGATCCAAGTCTGTACCCCCAGTTCCATGATGGAACTGATGCCTGATGGAAATGTGAGTCTCAATTGCACAAAAACGGATAGAAACCAGATATATTTCAAGTGAGAAACTTAAACCGTGACAACACTTCTTACTTTTACATGTTATATATGTGTTAAAGAATTAGTTCCTTTCATGTTTAATCAAGATGTACACGTCTTCATTATCCAACCTAACGCAAGGTATCACATCATTGCCACCAGTGGAGGTCAGGGTTTGTCTGCACATAAATCCAAGCTGACGAAAAGGTACACTCTTCTTAGAACACTACCATGGAGCAAAGCAAAAAAGTAGTGAAAACGAATATGGTATAATTATACTTAGAGCATGAGGTGAACCGACATTATAGACAAAGTTTTACCTAAATGTATAGCCTTCGTACCATACCATGAAAAAGAATATCATGTAACATCGCTATGAGCTGTGATGTCAATGACAAGTAGGTAGTCAGAGATGCCTTACAGACTCCTCAACGTATCATTTTGTTTCACGCGGGAGACGGACAACGGAAACGACCATTAGACACAGGATAAATACAGTCCGATATATATCTGGAACTGGACTACTAGCACACGCTATGTAACAATAGACCTGCCTTGAAGGCGCTAATATCATTACTGTAAGACCCTCCGGAGGGAGGAGGCAGATACCTTGACTAATGGGTTTATCCTTGTGTATTGGCCTACATCAGACAGGCGAAAGGCAATACAACGGGAACCCCCGGTTGCCCGCGTTGATGGCTCATGTTGTGGAATGCAACAACAACTCCATACTTTTGTTGCATGTTTGTTGGAAATAATCTCAGCATATCCTCGTCTGCACGAATTTGTTGAAATGTTAAGCTGAGAAATGGGGAGTTACTTGTTCGGGAGTTAGCTGAGTGTCACATAACACTGTTAACAGCTTAACTCTGTTGTATGATTTTGACACTTTCAATCAAGGCTTCATTACATGCAGTTATATGTGGATAAAAAATAGCAATATCACTGCTCGGGTAATAAGTTAATTCATGCATAAACATGAAACGGAAAAAGAACAGGCGTACATGTCTTTTGTTTTCGTGACAAAGCGACGTCTCACTGACCTTTTGAAATAACGTTATTGTGTCAGCTGAATTACTAATATGATTATGCAACTGTTTTAAGTGAATGGGTAATGCAAATATTCAAGATCAGTTGTAGCTAACATTGCATGTAAGGAACAATGTGACCGCAGATACCACACATAGGGTCTAATGTAGGAGACCGGGGTCAAGGTCAAGAGACCTTCCGGTTAGATAAAGAACTACTTCGAGATGATTGTTGCTCAATGGACATTTCCGTCATTAGACTTAATGGTGAATGAAATGCCGTATTGCAGACTGTGTGTAAGATATGGTAGTACAACATTTTGCATTCAGTGACAACTGAAATCTGTTAAAGGTCACATGCAACCTAAAACACAACTTTGCAGATTCTGATACCTTTCGGTATGGACTTACAGAAATAAATCATCAAAAATGCAAATTCAACTTGTAAAGTTGGAAAATAACGCGATGAAAAAACCCGCGCGAAATCGTATTTCAAACGATTCACTAACTTTCCTCCAGCACTTGGGGGAATTGAAGTGGTTTCAACAGCTGGGCTGCGCTCATAGCACATGCGCAGTGAAATAGGTTCGCGGAGTTTGGAAGCGGGTTGTCCGGTGAATTCGGTGGTGGCTTTGGTGAGAGCTATTTTTCTAATGTTTTGATGATATTTCACAGGCGCGAGCTTTTTATATGTTATTACAGTAGATTACCGATTTAACTGTTTATATAATTTCATTTGTCTATTCTCCACACGTTCTTCTTACCGAGTCACTTTCTCAGTTCGATACTTAAAAGCAATGTCATTATTTAGCGTTGACAGAATTTTTAACTGTGATATAGATATGTCGCTGTCACAGACAAAACTCAATGTCTTGTTTTATTGACACCTGTGTGTCTGCCTGCCTGTCTGCTAATGACCATATTCAATACACAATTTCAATCACTGACCACATGCAATTTGAACTTAACACCTATCAGGCTATACACCATAAACAAAACGCATTGATTTATGGCCCGAGTTCGGTCTCTGTCACATTATGTAATTACACAGACAGGCAGGTGTGATACTTGTACACATGACATGTTATGATGTCTGTTGATTGCAAAATGTTATACACAAAAAATGAGCATGTATTTACAAAACCCAACATCTCTATATAATACACACACAATGAGCCGTGAGCATCGGCAAATGAACCAGCCGTTACACTTGAGTGCACAACCACCCGCACTGACTGGGTTCGGTATCCCGGCTGCTTCGTTTCTTGGGAAGTACACCCAAGTACAAAATATTGCACTTTTGATTTGCGATTGTACGCTTATAATTTTGTTTTTATGTTTTTTTCATAACCAGCAATGTATATTATATGTCATGAATAAGTGATAATTGTGTTTTAATTATGTTTGATTTTTTGGTTGCATGTGACCTTTAATGTCCGTATATATTCATACCAGATTAAAGTCAGTTAAACACAGTCCTAAACCCTTTTCTATATGTGCTGGTGGAATCAGTACACAGGTAGACTTGGCACATGTGTACCGATAACCAGGTTATCTCTCTATGACGTGACAGTTCATTTGTCACACACACAGACAATGGTAATCTTCTCTGTCTGTCACTGAGTCGATGATCCTGTTCACTGTCAGACCTCATGAGATAAACCCAGCTGTGTCAGCCTGTGAATGGCCACTGACTTCAGGTCAGGACAAATGAACAGTGCAGGGGTTTAGCTGAAAGCGTAAATATAGCAGCAGTCCCAGCCGGAACTATGGTTGACAAGCTGACGGAGCTGATTACACAACTGATAATTTATGCAACACTCAAATGATTGAAGAAGAACCTTTACCTTTTAAAACAGGCCTATCTGTAATTCAACACCAAGTCTCCATGGGGTGTTTTCGTAGACAGTGCTTTAAATGTTTGTATTTTGTTCGTGGGAAGAACAATGTCGTGTCTCCAGTTCTAACCACATACAGCACGTTACTACCTTCACTTCATGTTTTCATATCTTGTACAAATGTTGCATTTTCCTATTAGATAAAAGGCATGCCACATGAAATACTGCATAACCAGGGAACATGTCATGTACCGGTGAATGTAACCTGTTACCACAGTCAGGTGTGGTATTATGTAGTGTTGCTTCTCCTGGACGCTGTCCACATAGCTGAACAACAACGCACAGGGCACGGAGACATGTGCACGGTCATTAGCCATGTACACCATTCAGTATGGACATTCGTGAAGAATGTAAAAAAACATTTGACCACAGGTGCCCCTTTCCCCTCGTGTTCAGATAAAATTACGTCCATTGTGTTTACTGTATGCTGTGGTCAGTCAGGTGACAGTCTGGGTGACGGTAACTACTGGACACATTTCCCAAACATTGTTTAAACAAGCAGACAAGTATCAATGTTCAGGCCACATTAGTGTTTATGCTGGATAACGTCAGGGTTAGATATAACACCCTAAGCATAGTCACGCGGGACAAGCACTGTGATATTGTACAAAATAGTCTGTCATACATCTGAACCAGTCATGTCGCCTGTGGGGGGCGGAGGGGGTGGTGTTGTGGTTTAGTGGTTAAAGCGTTTGCTCGTCACGCTGAAGACCCGGGTTCGATTCCTCACATAGGTACAGTGTGTGAAGCCCATTTCTGGTGTCCCCCGCCGTGATACTGCTGGAATATTGATAAAAGCAGTGTAAAACCACACTCACTCACTCATGTCGCATACGCCTATGTTTTAATTGTTTGACTGGAACAGTAATTAACTATACTCTTCCATAGCGTGTTACGACTGAACCAAACTGAGGGGCGTCAGAAAGTGTATCGTGTTTGTTTTTAATGCAGTTGAAAATATGTTGTTGGATTTGATTATGTCTATTAATCATCATTCATTCCTGCACCAGCTTGTAAAAACGTATCTGTGGTTGGATAATTGACTCAATTAAGATTGGGGTAAGAATGATCTGACATGTGTAAGTCCAATGAAATCCTATTCATCGATGGATTAGTTCGTAAATATAAAGAAACCTAATTCACATGTCAAGGTTTTGCAGTATTTCAAACATTTGTTTATCAAATCCCTAAGCCATGACTGTAAGCGAAGTAGATGCATATGTATGCATGATGTGTCGCCCATATACACATGCCAATAATGGTTGTCACCCCCCTCCCCACCCCAATCCCACACACCCTCTCCAATAAAAGAAATTGAAGGGGGTGACAACCATTATTGGCTAATATACTAGGCTAATATATATAGACTGCAATAGACAGACAAACACAATATGCTGGGGATGGTTACAACAATTTAAATTAAGGTACCGTGTTTCTTGCACAATAATAATGCTATATACATCAGCTCCAGATATCACGAAGAAAGATATTACAAACTTTCTGATCACTTAGAAGCGAACATGGTCTAAACGAACAACTGTTTCAAATATCTATAATGCAATAAGTTGCGGGGTTACAAATACGATATTTAACAATGTACATGTATAAGAACATTAAGAGCAGTTATAGGTGTCCCAGCACACTCGTGTCCCCATGATACATGGTTTCTTTAGTCTTGCTTTCACCCGTGAAGATCCGGTTAGAATTGATCTTCAGTAACCCATGCTTGTCGTAAGAAGCGACTATCTTGATCAGGTGGTCAGGCTCGCTGACTTGGTTGACACATGTCGTGGGTTCCCGATTGCGTACTAGATCGATGCTCATGCTGTTGATCACTGGATTGTCTTTTCCAGGCTCTATTATTTAACAGACCGGTGTCATATAGCTGGAATATTGCTGAGTGCGGCGTAAAACTAAACTCACTCACTCACTAATCTTGCTTTCACCATTTGCAGGTGTGGGATGACGGCCTCTCCAAGGCTGCTGAGAACTGGGTGAAGAGTTGCCGATATGAGCGCGCTCCCTCCTACATCACCGACTGTGGCCAGAACCTGTACTATGCAAACCACCTCGTTCAAACGTGGAATGGAATTGATCGGACCGTCCGCAAGGCCATCGCGACGTGGGATGGTGATAAAGCCTACTTCCGGTATGGAAAAGACTGTGGCAGTGCGTGCGCGTACTCGCAGGTAGGTAGATGCATGTGCTACACTTACAAGGGGCGATAAGAAAGTGATGAGCCTAATTATATTCTCGATGTCCAATGTTTGAAAAGCTTCTATTTTATTAGGAAAGAATCAATCATTAGCAAAGCCATATCCAAAATTTCACAAATGGGTAATGTGGTTAACGAGATATTAGTCATCGCAACACATTGAGGTATAATATTTGTAAAATAATTGCAGAAAATGAAAAACGAGATGTCATTTGGTACCTCTTGGATAATGATATGCCCTCAGATAAAATCATATCAAATATGTTCAGTATGGTATTGGATGACTTCCAGTCATAATCAACACTCAAAGATCGGGATTGCTTGATTTAGATTTAGACGGGGGCTGTTTCTTTAAGGTCACCCCCATTTTAGTCTTTCAAAAACATTGTGTCCAGATGTTTAAGCTGGCACTGTTTACAATATATTGAGAGCTGACACTTGAGTGACCATTCAGTATTTAGTTTGAACCTTTGGCATCATGTATGAATAGTGAAAACATTGGAATATGTTATGTCCTTATGATTATGTCATCTGGAAGGGGGTGGGTAGTGTCTACAAAACAAGCCTTTTCAGCACATGAAGGGGGAGTCACTGTATTTAGCGATTGCACATGTAGTATCTTATGGCCTTTTTATATACTTTAATGTCTAAGTCTGAGTCTAGCGGACTTCTACCTATCTCAAACGCACACAAATGTTTCTTGCATATTTTGTTTCCTGAAGTTCACGATGCAAATCAAACAAAATGGGGATCGTGAGGGTGGAACATACCAAAACCAATTTGCTAGAGGTTGACAGATAATATGTAGAAAAATAAAACATAAAAACAGCTGTATTTGTATCATTTTCTGTGCGAGGCTCACTACTTTTTGAAAGCCTCTCGTAAATCGGTTCTTAATTTACAACTTATGAGAGAATATCATATTATAGGCAGCATTTTCCTTGATTCAACTCATTTTCACTCACATTGCTCTAATAATTTGAGGTGATATGTTTGACGATGAGATCATGTGATAGTCTTCAATTGTCTGTTCTAAGTCGAACGCAAAAAGATTGTGGACTAAAACAACATCGGAATTGCTCTGCATTTGTACGTACGATCTTCATGCGTCGCCAACCTTTAGGAATCGAAAATGTGTCAATCTGGTGTCCTCGGTTCGTTGTTTAACACCACAGTCAGCATTATTCCAGCTATATGGCGGCGCTCTGTAAATAATCGAGCCTTGACCAGACAATCCAGTGATCAACTGCATGAGCATCGGTCTACGCAATTTGGATATGATCCCGCCAGAATGGGCTAGGCATATTCTTCTGGGGACATAGGGCCATTATAAGTAGTTTGATATCCGTTTAATCACAACATTTTAAACTTCTTTATATCCAGAAAAAATGAATCCCCAAATATGATCCTTACTCGTAAATTCCATCGCTGTGGTATATATACGTACGTCTGCTGTTACTTTTATTCAACGTTTTTCATATGTGTACAATGTTGTTCAGAACGACCATAGAAAACAAACTGTTGTAGAGATCTATACATTTATCGTTCTTCCTTCTACAGGTGGTGTGGTCCACCTCCACCAGGGTCGGGTGTGCTATGAACAGATGCTACCGGATGCAGGCTGGCGCTTATGAGAAGCGTTACACGACGCTCTTTGCTTGCTTTTATTCCCCAAAGTGAGTGTTTTCAGTTGCATTAACTACAGCATGGTACAATGTTTGAAGTTTTTTAGGAAGTTTGAAGCGTCCATTAAGCGTGAAATTATATCGGCAGGACATGACCCTACACAAAGTGGTGAGAGGATACAAAAAGCCTCAAAAACAGGCGCTATGCTTTCCGTCCTTCAGGCCGAGTTAACACATTTCACATAAAGTTGCTATGGATGTTGTTAAAATGTTTTCGTTTATATTTTAGAATTTGAGACAGGTACTATCCTTGAAAATGATGTATTTTTTAATGTTTACAGTCTAGACGCCTAGTGTTTTGAGTACAAAATGTTAAATCGATTGCCAAAAACTGTCCAGACTTAGATATTCTATAACGTCGATTATTGACATTCCCTATTAAAAAGAATCGAGGTGCCGTGCGGCAAATTAGTAATGGACTCTGTAATACCAGACAAGCAAAGGATTCAGACGTATTCTCGGAAATATTTAGTCAAAGCTGTCTGTCACACAGAGAAATGTTCATCACTGTAATCAGACCTAAAGACAGTTTTTGTGTGTAACAGTAGACACAATGAGAAATGCTTATGATGTGTACCTCAGGGTGACTGGGGAAGGCATTAGTATACAATGCTACAGGAGATTATAAGGCGTCTTCCTAACTTGGAAAACATCTCAGGTCCTCGACTCTCTGACATAAATAAATAAATCTGGGAGGTACTGTGCGGTTTACCAACGGTTAGTCGATCTAGCGAAGTGACTTATACCAAAGGTGTGGAGGACTGAGTTGAGACAATAAACTCGGTGTTTTCGGCAAGGATATGTAGTTATTCCTGTGTTGGTTTTATGGCTTGTATTTATTTCTATGATCCGTCAGATACACACATCGTTCACAGTCCGTGACAATTCATTAACGCGAAATAAAATTCATATTCCGAGGCAAACTGTTACAAGGCAATTTTGAAAAAGATTTTCGAGCACTATAAAGATGGAGCATCTTACTGCATACATTGAGTTAAGAGTTTGGGTAAACAAGGCTTCGTCGTGAATCCAGCTCACGTCTCTCTAATCAGACATGGAACAGATCCAGGGTTTATATTACAATAGCATGTCGCCATGTAAGCGACTTGCCGCTTATGTCAAAAGAATTATACATATTCTGTGGCATTCTATTCTATCACATTTACTCCAGGTATGATATTATGTCATAAACATGACAAGACATATCTGAAATGGGCTTCGAACCCAGGCCTTCGTCGTATCGAACGGGCGCTTTAACCAGTTGACTACCCCACTGCCACTTTGGTACAAGATCAGTGAACGAAATGATGTGATCAATCAAAAGCAGAGAACACCATATCCATTAATTATGAACAGTCCCTAAGTAACAAAACTGGCGTTCTACTTATATCTTATAGCCGATGAGTAAGTGGTCATGCTTGTTGAATGTTAACTGACGACATTATAATACGGAAATGAGATGCATCCACAAACAATGAAGTCAAAGATCACTTACATAACTCAAGGAGACGTAGACAATGGCCAGTGTTTTTATAAACTACGTAAGTCCGATGTCAATGTTTCAGTGGGAATGATAACACGTGTATGATTCAAGTGTACTAATGTGGAGTATTGCTATTTTCAGGGGTGAAATGACAAATGATTTCCCCTATACCCCTGGCTTGGCGTGTACCAACTGCCCTCTGGGGTCGATGTGTGAAGCTGGTCTGTGTAGTAAGTATTCTTTCCAAGTTTATCTTCCCAAAGTGAATTCTCCAGAAGACAGTTACATACCTGCATACCGAACACGCGTACTACTAACTGGATGACAAAACGAACATTTTTTTCAAGTTCCGAGCACTTGCTGATATGTTGGTCGAAATGCAAATAGCAAACTAGCGTTATAACGAATTAAGTTATTGGTCCTTTTGAATTCGTTATAATAATTTTCTGTATATTTATAAAACGAGTTATATCGCCAAGGCCAGGATGTACCTCACAACGAAATACAGTTGATACAACGTTGTTGTTAAAGAGATACAGACCTTGCAAGCTCAGAACATACTCGGACCTGAAGTCGCTCCCGGGGGTAGTGGAGTGGACAACGTTCCAGTGAGGGTGCCCGCCATTGAACCGCCTGTTGTTCCATCGGTCTGCTTTGGTGAGTACACCAGTCCTAGTCTCATAGTCCATTACAAACTTACACGCTTCATGTAGTACTTTCACATTTAATCCCGGCCAAACAGCCACGCCTTTCCAGATAACAGACAGACCGATAATTTATTTAAGTCTCACATCACAAGTATATGCTATGAGTATATGATAATTGGATGGTTGTCGGGTATTCTACTTGGAGAATTAAGATTCCGTATGCAGTGTTTCTTGCGTCACTTAGTCATTTTTTGTATATAGCTTTTCTCTTATCCAGCCAATATGACAACCCAAGAAGTGCACTTTATCCTGCTCGTCACAAACAACCTGAGAGCCAAAGATTCGGCTTATCCAGTGGTATGTACACAGACTCCATATTCGCATGATCTTCATGTTAGTTTAGAACCTCATCTAAAACAGATTAACACTGGTATCCACAGGCATGTGGGATTGTTAAAACACGTATAATTTGTAAAAATGTTATACTTGGGATTATACTTCCTTAGTTATTGGAATCCTGACATTGGTTGACTGGGTTAGGACATCGCCGACTTTGACAATTTGGTGCCCTATTTTTATAGTTTCAAGCCTCCAAAGTACTAGAATTTGTACTTTAATAAGAAGATTTAATGTCAGATTCAATATACGTTACATTTGAGCACTCTCTAAAAAAGCATTGTGTGTTTATGTATAACATATCGCTACACTGGAGGTTTGTCCGTTACAACACAGGAGGGAGACTTCAGGTCAGGTCACGAAGAAGTTGCCTTAACTGTTTTAAGATGTGTGTTCCATGCTACTCGGTTGATCCATTAACACACGGTGGAGATGCTGACATATAAAGTATGTGTGAGTATTTATTTGGAGCAACTTGTGATATATCCTTGTATTATTGGCTTGTGTTTGACGTAGACATTCTTGTTACAGACTTGGAGTGATGAGCTGGAGCAATGGGCGAACTACGTCATCCGCTGCGACATTGAATACCCAGGACCCCGCACTGCCTACACCAACTTTGGGAAAACAGGCGCAGTAAGTTAATCCTGTCTACGGAAACTCCCGTTTCTCTCTTGAAAAGTATATACTGTTATCCCGTTTCTCACTCGGAAACTTCAAGCTTAGGAATAGTTATATATAATAATAATATGAATGTTGTTTAGAGATACCCGTCTCCCAGTCCGAAAACGCTTAGAAATACTGTATCGCTGTGCATGAGGTTTGGAGATAAATGTTGCTCATTTTCGAGGCGCTTGTTCGGGTATACTATAAACTATGGTTGTTGAGAGATACCGGTTTCTCAGTCCATAATCCGCCAGCTAAGGCATACTGTATCACTATAAAACTCATTTTAGCGATACTCTGAAGCCGCTAGCTTTAGAATTTTGTATATCTATGGAGGAAGTCTAGAGATACCCGTTTCACACTCTGTAATAGCTTAGAGGGACTAAATCGCTTTAAACTTTTTAACGGACACCCCTTTCTCACAACCGCCAGTTTTGGAATACTTCATAACTATGAGCCTGTCGCCATGTCATGATAGGCACCACAAAATAGTTACCTATTTCTAATGCAAAAGAGGTTAACGACAAAATGCTTACCCGCTTTTAACACCTGGTATCATGACTCATTGTCAAATGGACACTCTAAGCGTTTTCACCTAGTGTGCTAATTCTGAATCACCAAGAACGTGATTAAGAGATATCGATGTCTCACTTTGGTTTTGGAATACTTCATAACTATGAGCCTGTCGCCATGTCATGATAGGCACCACAAAATAGTTACCTATTTCTAATGCAAAAGATAGGTGGGTGTTAACGATGGGGCAATGACATGCTTACCCTCTTCGTTAACACCTGGTATCATGACTCATTGTCAAATGTAATTTTCACAGCTATTTTCTACTCTAAGCGTTTTCACTAATTGCTAGTGTGCTAATTCTGAATCACCAAGAACGTGATTAAGAGATATCGATGTCTCACTTTGGAAACACTTATATAGGCTACTGTGTAAATATATATGTATTTGTGAGCACTGGAATGTGTTTGGGCGGATTATCGAGACTGGTTGCTCTCTGGCGATCATATTGTTCAATTTATGTCAATTTATATGATTTATTATTATATTTACATTTCTAACTTTGAAACTGCTAAATGTACTCTAACTCTACCAACCTTGCAAAATTGTCCGTGTAAGTAACTTCGATTTGTTGATTTTTTATGAGAATGTTTGTGTCCACAGACGAACCCCCTGTACCAGCTGGTGTATGAGTGGGGGGACGAGGGCAGCAACACAGTAACCACGCTGTTGACAGCGGGGTGTCGGACACCAGACGACGTTGCAACATGCAACCACAACACCAATGTAAGCATTTCATCTGTCAGATTTAATGTATCGCAAACATAATATATATTTAGGCATGGGGTTCGAATCACCGTTTGGACAATAACTTTTGGAAATAAAAAGCTAGACTTTTGCAATCATACATTGTTTTTCTATGTTATGATTAACATACACTTCGAATTGAACGAAGTCGGTGAAGAAATATAGACTTTAGAAAAGTCTACTGCTACACTATGATATAGAATACACTAAATACTAGTGTAGCGGTAGAATGTTCGGAAGTTTCCTGTGTATTGAGGCATGTTGGCGTCGTTGAGGAACCACTTGTTTCCGTACATGTGTTGTTAGTGAGTGAGTGAGTTAAGTTTTACGCTGCACTCAGCAATATTCCAACTACATGGCGGCGGTCTGTAAATAATCGAGTCTGGACCAGACAATCCAGTGATCAATAGCATGAGCATCGATCTCATGTGTTGTTAAATTCGTAGAGTATACTACAACACAGTACATTTGGAACTTCAATCAGCATAAGAATTTGTTCAAAAGTGTTTGTTTTAGACAAATATTATATTTGTATACATTAACTTAGGAATAATTATACTCGAACAAACGGCGTCATATGAGCGAAATATTCTCAAGGACGACGTTAAATCCAATTTCATCTCACCTATACTCGAACACTGGTATATGATTAAAGTTCCTTTACACTTTAACATAGTTCAATGTTTTCATTTATTTGCAGCTGATGGCGACAACCAACACACGTATGGGCTGTGCAGCCTGCGTGTGTGGTCTCCAACGACAGCTCACCTGCATATATGACTCCCAGGCTGTATGAATGTGAAATCTTCCCAACCATTCCATATGTCGACAGACACATCTACTAACACTACCGACCACAGCAGCGGAGGTTGATCGGCCGTAGAAAGAAAGGGATTGTTTAGTACTGACAGATCGCCTCTGTGTAAAAACCAACCGTAATTGATAACTTTTTAAAAAGTTCAACGTGACAGCAATTAAGCCTTACTATTAGCAGTGAAATATATCAACATGAAATAGTATAATCATTAAAAAATCAGTTATCTCGTTTGGTTTTAAACCGCGGTGACTAATACTTTCAAAAAGCATATTTATATTCATTTATGCAAATGTGTGACGTTTTTGAACTTTTTGAAATATCAATTTTTCAAACAAATCCTGAATTCCAGCTGAAAGATGATTTAGTCGTTAATCACAAACATTCACCTACCTCACTTTCCTGCATGTAAATGTACACTGGACGGACACATCCCCAGGGTATAACGACAACCTCAAGGTCACTGCAGTCTATCTTGATACCGGTTACAGAACAGTCAGTAGGAACATAGATGAAGACAACCAAGGCTCTGTACAACGAAACCATATTACTTTGGCCAGCAACTAATTATGAGACCACATAGACGAAGTCTTTGTCACTGTAGATCATTACTCCACCATTATCTTAAAGACGTATATGGTACTAATCCCGTCCCACTAACTCATGTATGTTGTTGTATTGTAATACTTAACACATTGTATTGTTACATACTTACTTAGATACCTTTCATTTCATTGATTTGATATTACTAATTATTGCATTTATGCGGTAACACATATTTATGAAATATTTCATGTTTTATTTCTTTATGAAGGACTTCTATGAATAAAGTATATTTTGACAAATACTCTCTCCGTGTGTTGCATATACTCATGTCTGTTGCATCATTCTACTGGACATAATGACATGTGTATGTAGGACTCAGAATTGCCATGGTGTCACCGAGTCTCATCACTCGGGCCACATCGTCAGACTTGCAAGGGTATTAAGGGATCTGTCGGGATCCGTAATCCCCATATGTTTGTCTAGTGGAGCACATGAATCCCCATATGTTTGTCTAGTGGAGCACATGAATCCCCAGATGCTTGTCTAGTTGAGCACATGAATCCTCAGATGCTAGTCTAGTGGAGCACATGAATCCCAATATGCTTGTCTAGTGGAGCACATGAATCCCCATATGTTTGTCTAGTGGAGCACATGAATCCCCATATGTTTGTCTAGTGGAGCACATGAATCCCCATATGTTTGTCTAGTGGAGCACATGAATCCCCATATGTTTGTCTAGTGGAGCACATGAATCCTCAGATGCTAGTCTAGTGGAGCACATGAATCCCAATATGCTTGTCTAGTGGAGCACATGAATCCCCATATGTTTGTCTAGTGGAGCACATGAATCCCCAGATGCTTGTCTAGTGGAGCACATGAATCCCCATATGTTTGTCTAGTGGAGCACATGAATCCCCAGATGCTTGTCTAGTGGAGCACATGAATCCTCAGATGCTAGTCTAGTGGAGCACATGAATCCCAATATGCTTGTCTAGTGGAGCACATGAATCCCCATATGTTTGTCTAGTGGAGCACATGAATCCCCAGATGCTTGTCTAGTGGAACACATGTCGTATTCAGTATTGGAACGGGTTAGGCACAAGTCAGCAGAGCATAACTGAAAGTATTTTACAAAAAACGATGCGATACAAAAAAATAGTAAAGAGACGATGTCCATAGGGTGCGTGCTGTACAACTGTTCTTGTTGTACAGTGGCTTAACTTCGTTTGTCTGGATTGCGTCACGTCACTTTGTTCATCCGGGTTGGTGGGGTAGCCTAGTGGTTATAGCGTTTGCTCGTCACGCCGAAGGCCCGGGTTCGATTCTCCACATTGGGTATACTGTGTGAAGCCCATTTTCAGGTGTTCCCCGCCATGATATCGTGAAATATTGCTAAAAGCGGCATAAAACACAACTCACTCACCCGTTCCATTAAATACGTTCATCCATTAAATTTGTTTCACACAATGCCATTGGATTAGCCATCCGGATTATTTAAGTCGTTCATGTTTTCATGACTGGTAAGAACACGCCGAGGACGTTTTCCCGGAATGATTTCTTCCTCGATAGAAGGTACACAAACATTACGTCAAATACACAGATGTACGCTAAAAGGAAAATAATATGACAGTCACCAATGTGTGTACAATTAAACACAAATACCCGACACACGTGTGCTCAATTCACCTAAAATCAGGACATGTGAGTGATTGAAAAAATAAGTTTGAAGGTCAACGACACATTCCCCGCCAAAAGACAACTTGTTTTGTGATTTACGGCTATCGGCCTACGATATAATGTTGATGTTATCACACAGTGGCCAGCTGGGGGTCAGCAGTAACATGGTGTGAGTTCACACGATACACACCACACCGGAAGTGCCACTATCGTTATCAGTGGCGTTATCACATGCAGGAGAGTTGATGGTGTCCATATAGCATTGTCTCTTTATCCTCTCGCGTGTAAATATATTGGTGCCTGTATTGGTATGAGTACTATACAAAATTGTCTTAACTGTGCAGATTATTTCCAAAAGCAATACTTATCTGTTCAGATACAAAAATAGACACCTGAAAATAGGTGGAATCCTTTGCAGCAGACTGCCTGGCCTCCTGATTCCGCGTGAGCGTATACCTCAGCAACAACCTCTGCAACTCGTGTAAAATCTGTATGAAATAGGGATCTGATGACTAGATACTGTAGCTTACCTGATTGCGTGTCAAACAAACAAACAAACAAACAAACAAACAAACACATGCTCACAATACAGAATTAGACGAATCGATATTTCTAAATGATGAGGAAAGGGCTTTTGTCGCTTTCATTTGTATGCGATATCTTTGATAAAATCAATTCAAAATATACTGTAATCTGCCACAGATTCAACTGTTCAAATGTACTGCCTGTTATGGGGCTATACAATACATCATGTATTGCCAAAAACACTCATCTCAAAACTACAACGAGTACAAAAATCAGCAGCTCGCTTTGTCAAAAAAGTGTCCAAGAGAGATCATATCTCCCTAGCCTGTCATACAGACCCTGAAGCAAATATATCCAAGAAAGACCACGCAAGTCTAGAAAATGCGGCACGTCTAGATTTCCACAGCTTCTCAGGGCTCCTTTTCATTATATTTTATTTTATTTTACTGTGAGCTCTTTTTCCTGTAAACTATGTTCAGAGACTAGTTGTTAGTCTAATATCTCCCGTGCATCATGGGCCTTACTCTGGTTATCCATAAGAGCCAGAGTGGAGTATAAAATCCTGAGCATAGTCCATCAGTGCTATCATGAAACTGCTCCCGACTACCTCAATGAGTTGGTGACCAAACATGTTCCATCGAGAGCCTTACGATCAGCTGATCAGCATCTATTGGTCATCCCAAGACGTAAACTAAAAGCCTTTGGTTTCCACTCTTTTATTTATGGAGCTCCAACACTATAGAACCAGCTGCTACTCGAAATCAGACCATCAACATCCCTGGATTCCTTCAAATGTGCCTTGAAAACATTCCTCTTCAGAAAATACCCACAGTAACTACTGTGTCTAACAAACACATTCTGAATCGTTTCAACCTTTTTATGTACAAATGTCTAATGTGTTGTAGCACTCCCATCACCCGTTTTATGCAGCGCTTTGAACATACAGTTATATATGGAATCCAGCGCGGAATAAATACACATATTATAATTATTATTATTATTATTTATGTATTATTTATGGCACAATATGACAGCTGTGGAATCGAGGGGTTATTTAGTTCCTCATACATCCAACAACAAACCAAATTGTATACCTTGGTTAAACAGAGAAATCATGTTAACGTCGAGTAGAGCTATACGTTCCGTGTTTGGGGTATTTGTTACATATGATCCCGCACCAACATTTCTATTACAGTCAGATGTCTAGCATAAGAAGGTTCACCTGTAAAAAACCTTCCTTTCATTACATTGAACAACATATTTCGTTAACGTCGATAGGAGCAAACATCTTTTTAAGTAGCCTTGACAACACGTTTTTAGGGTGTAGTATACTGGCTTCATATTGTGGCATTGTGTGCATCAGGGGGTTGTCCAAGAAGGCCTTGTACATTGGTCGTTCCGGTGGTCAGGAACGATGGTAGAGTTACACACTAACTGTTGTCAGAACCGACCCAATACTGGTGCTAATAATCTGATCTGACCTGGGAAATGTAAACCTAACGCCACTCTTCAGCTTCGAGGGGCACGCAGAATGGAGGGATTAACGATTTCCCCGGAGTCTCAAACACGATAACATTCACGTAACTGCCTGCAAAATGTTCTAAAAGGCTACGTGCTTCAAACGTTGATTTATGGGACCACGGTATAGATTTTGTGCATTTGCTGTAACACATTACTGCACAGTAATAGTATTTATCAAAGGTATTACTGTCGTGTCTCAGTTTTAGTGTCAGGAGTGTAACAGTTATGGTTCCAAGCCAAGATTAGCGATGTGGGTGTCTCGTCGCCTAGATGCCTACTTACAACATGAACTACATGCATGTCAAAATATGACATGGTGTCATAACGTACATGTGTTGTCAAGATCACCAATCGCTTAAGAAATATTATGCAAAAAAAGAATCGTTTAGCTTGAATGAAAAATCACGAATTAAATATATTCTTACTAATATAGATCATTGCAGGCATGGCGAAAAGCCCGATAAAACATGTTGTCAAGACAGTTGTTAAAAAAACCCAAACAGGACGAATTGCCTATTACTGACATGATCGTAAAACTAGGCCAATATCAACCTATACAACTTGAACACAGTATTTAAAAGTCATGGGAATTTTATCAAATTAAATTAACATGAGTATTGGAGGTCCTCAAGGATGTGTTCAATCCCCATTTTTGTTCATGTTGTATACTGATGACTATGTTAGTCGTCGCCAAAATATATTTCAGTGTAAAGTCCACGTATGACACGGCATTTCAGTCTATTGTTTGAGAAGAATGACAAACAAAGGAAGCTACAATCACATTCTTATTGCGAAAAAGAACGAAAAACGTATTCGTATCATAGATCATTAAAAGGTCATGTTGTACTCAAGCTATCATACTGGATATTCCTCACAAGTTGTGACAGAATACAAGTGCTAATTACAATCACTGACAATAACTTCACGTTGTCTCAAAATACAGATGCTACATACAGCAAGTGTTGATATTTCCTAAATATTGTATTCAGTCTG